ATAGACTCGTTTGCTCAGATTTCCAAGCGAAGAAAAGGGTTAAAGTGTGGAGCTTGAAAGAGTGGCTGGAAGTTAGTTATTAGAAAGCTCCGGTTAGAAGTCTGCCTTGTCTGTGACGAATAAGGGATTAGTCTAGTGGTAATACCACTAGCCATGAACCTGGAGGTCCTAGGTTTGAGTCCCTTCAGTAGTACGTAATAACAAAAAAGTAACCTATATCACCATTATCTAAAAAGTCTGCCTCGTCTGTGTTGAAACAAGTCGCCAGAATATTCTTCATAGCGGTTGATACGAAGCATCGAAAATGGTGTTTGGTTTGAACCGAAAGACTGAAGGGATTCAAATTTAGTTTATTTATTTATCAGAGTTTTATTTGGTTATTATGTATATGTATTTATGGATAGGTTGCGCTTTTTAATTCGTCGGGAGTACCAAATCAGTCATCTGACGTGGTACTCTCGGTGTACCTAAGAATTCGACGGGAGAGACTGGAGTGGAGGAAACCACCGCCACATAAGGGAAGTCAGATTAAGAGTCTAAAGTGAAAAATTATTCGCCGGATCCGGCGGCGGAATAAACAGACGTAGGCGAGGAGGAGTCGGGAGGAGAGAGGAGAAGGATTCGTCGTTTGTTCCTTTATATTTTTTAAAATATAAAATGATAAAATGATATTGTTTTTTAATTGCCATGTCATACAATTAATGGTCAACTATAAAAGTTGACTGTCACATTAGTATAAGTTAATAGAGTTGGACGAAGAGTGACTAAACTTGAAATGTTCAACTAATTTTAGTGACTACGAATGAAATTAAATATTTTCTAGTGACCAAACGTGAACATTTTTATTAATCTTAGTGACCAACCTTGAAATTAACCTGTCTATGTACCATACTACACGTTGTTGAGCTTCTTTCATCCATTTTTTTGGGCAATGTCTATTTTTTGTCCAAACCTTTTTCAGATTCTTTTATTTTATCAAAACCTATCAAAATACTATGAATTAACCAAACGTTAATTCATCATCAAATTTTTCGTTAATATTGCTGATTCAACATCACGAATCTGAGTTGGCTTCTGACGTGGTGGTCAACATATCATTTTATATTTTAATTAAAAGAATAATAGAAAAAAATTAATAAAGCTAGTCGCCGTCCACAACACCCTCCTCTCCTCCTACTGGCGCACCACCTGGAAATCAATCCTCACTTCCCTCCACACATCTCGTCTTTCTTGAACATAATCCCGAAGCCCTCTTCACGTCTCTAGACCCAACAATTCCCACCTCAACTCCGACCTCTGCCGTCGAGTCCAAACAATGAGAACACAAAGGGGCATCGTCGCCTTGCCTCTGAGCCAAGGCGGAAGAAGAACGACGGGGAGCTTCATCGGTCGATCTCGCCAGCGTGGTAGAGACCCATCTCCTATCTAGCCGACGTAGAATATCTATGATTCAAGCGCTCATACCCATGCCGCTAGTTCGCGAGTCCAGGGAGGCAGGAACTAGTTCGCCCATCTTCAATCTTAAGGTTTGCGGAGCCATCATCGACCAACTCCTCCCAAGCCGGTAGAACAAGCATCGCCCTCACCCTTAAATTTCACCCTGCCGCATCTTGCTCTCCGGCTTCAACGTCTTGAGCGCCTCTGACATTCAATTGAGAAGCAAAGGTAGGACCAGAAGTCCAAAATGACAACGCGGGTGACCAAGGCGTCGCCGACGTTGGTGGGGCTGGTGCGAAGGACCTCAGAGAGAAGAAGAAGGTCTGTATCTTGATCTCTCTCTCACTTCCCCACTCTGCCTCCCTAACTCTAGGATTAGGGATTTTAATTGGAATTAGGGTTGGGGGAAGGAATTGAAATTATGAATTTGGGGAAATTTGGCTGGCTGGGAAAAGAATGAGGTCTATGCGATGGCGGCGTTGATCCGACACGAGGTGTTACAGTCTAGGCCGAGCCGACTCAGATCCATGTTCAAGGAAAATCGTAACGGTTTTGTGGCAAGATTGGGGGTTGCAATTTTTTGGGTTTCAAAGGTCTGGTTCTGTGAGGAAGAAGAGGTTGGAGGAAGAAGATTATTGCATTGGTGCCGAAGAAAGGAAGGGGGCGAGCTCCTGGTTTCACCATCAACGGTGGCGGAGAATTGAGGAAGAAGAAGCTTAAGGAGTTGGGCGGACGAGTTGTGTATTTTTTTTATAAATTAAAATTGATATTAAATATGTATTCATTTCTGAGGTGGACGCTTACATGGACGTCTGTTACTAAATAATTAACGGTAACAGAATGAAAGTCCAGACATTGATCAGTTACAATACTTTTGGATAATTAATAGTAATTTGATAGGTTTGGATTCCGGTAAAACAAACCAAAGAAGCACCACTCTCACATTGTCTCTATTGACCACTCCCAAACTTAAAAATTCATCAACTCCAGCCGATCTTGGGCCTTTCTCGTGATCAATATAATTCCCATAATGTTTGGGCTTAGGGCTAGCTCTTGATTTGGCAATGTGGCAGGGGTGGGTTGTATTGATATAAGGTTGACAACTTGGTTTAGCCCGTTGGTCTAGTCAAGTAAATGAGTTGAGAGTTTATTCTTTAATCGCTCTAGCTATGTTTATTTACTTTTTATAATGGTGAGGAATATATTAAATGAACCAACAAAAGAGTACATGGATCAAAAGAATTGATCCAACAGACATAAGACCAAAACAAAAAAAGATAAAAAAAGAAAAGAAAAACACAAGAACAAAGCTCAAAGACCGCCACACTAAATGGACGAGGCCACCCCTGCGTGGTTACCTGATGGAAAAAAACCAACCTAAAGCAATACATACAGACACAACCCTCGAAACAACAAAACCCAAGAAACAACAGCACCTTCCACAAGAGAACTGAGCACACAACAACGATAACCTCCCACAAATAGCATGTTCGAGCTTACAGCAACAAGAATGAGCAACAACACCGCCCACATTCATCCCACAAGACCAACTAACACTGCAAACGTCAAACAACACAATAGCACAAATTAGATTCCTCCCACTAAATCTCTTAACCAATGAGATCCCCCCCCCCCACCCCCCAATATGCTTGAGTCTTGTCATGGGCAAGAATCCACTCCATAGATGATCCAACAACTTTCTTGGCAACTACCGAAGGAGGTAGCTTCGTGTCCTCGAATAAACGTTGATTCCTCTCAAACCACACAGACCACCAAATGGCATGAATGAGACAACATACAAACCAATTTGCAGATCTACCAACATCCTCATCAGACCACTGAGAGATGACACTCCTGATATCCCCACCATGCCTCGGCAAAGCAACACCCCTGTCCGAAATCTTCCTCCACACCTCCTTCACAAACGAACATTCAACAAAGATATGGGAGGAAGTCTCTTCATTTCTTTGACAAAGACAACACCTATTAGCTAAACTGATTCCTCTTCGTTTCAGATTATTAGTCGTAAGAAGTCTATTGTGGAACACGAGCCAAATGAAGAAGCAGACTTTGCTCGGGACCACCACCTTCCAGATTTGCTTAGCTGGAAAGTCTTGCACCCCTCTGAACTCCTCCCTTGCCGACCAACTATACGTGGATTTCACCAAGAACTTTGAGTCGGCCTCAAGCTTCCACATCAACCTGTAGGGACTAAAGTTGTTTCTAGAAAAATCAAAGGAATGTAGAAAATTAAGAAGACCCCTCCTCTCCCTCTCAGCCCCACCCTAAGAGTATAATTAAGATTCAAATTCCAAATCACCCCTCACCATTAAAGGATACAATGTCGGACACCATAGCTTCGGGTTCATAAGCAGCAACAGCCACATGGGGGAAAGAAGTAGCAAGGACTAATCTGGGGATCTAGTAATCGTGCCAGAACGAGACATGAGTGCCGTTCCCATGATCCAAACAAGCAATCTTCCAAAATAGGTTGTATTCTTTGCTTATATTCGCCCAAACCGATCTAGAAAACCCTGTGCGAGCTCTCCTAGTCTGCCAACACGAACACGGATTCATATACTTGAAATTGATAAGCACCCGCCACCATTTATCCCTTTCCATACCAAATTTCCACAACCACTTAGATAACATTGAGTCGTTAAACGCTTTAAGATCATGAATGCCTAACTCTCCACTACAAGAAAATTGATCTTTCATTACGGGATTTTTCCCATTGCTAAATATTTTACGGTTGTCACGGGAAATAGTTCCCATAATTAATTGAGTTGGACAATCTTGATTTACGATGGGATATCAGCCCGTAATCATAGAGTGAGAGTTTCCCGTGACAGATGAAGCCAAAATACTTGGCGGTAAACGAAACTAGATTGTGGCCCGGCCGATTGGCCGGGTAGTTTTTTTGTGAATTAATATTTTATTTTATAAAAATTCTAAACCGTGAATGAGTGTCTAAATCTCTTAGTTTTTGTTAGAAAAAATATTAAAATTTTTGAAAATTGTTACAATTGGAAAATTTAGTGAAAATATCTAGAGACAAAACTACATATTAAATTAATAAAAATTTTAAACTCCATCTTAAATTATAAGATACCTTGTATTAAACTAAGTGGGACTTTGAAGATAAAAATAATATAATTTTACTTAATAGATGAGGTTAATGAGGAAATAAACAATTTCATATTGGGTAAAGTTAAAAGGATATTCATGTTAGTTAGTTTCTATAATTAAATAAAATTAATTAGCTTCGACTTCCAAATCCATTGATGAATTAATTATTTCTGTGCACATAATATACGCCCCTTAATCAATAGTTTATTTTTGTCTCTCTCTATTTCTCTCTTTAACGAATTTCTTCTTATTATTATTTTTATGTAAAAGAACTTAATGTTATTATTAAAATCCAAATTTTTATTGCTCTATCGAAAACCCAATTTCTATAAACTTGTTGAAAAATCAATTGTTATTGGAAAGGATAAGAATATTATATGAAACTCCATTCTACAATACCTATAGAACTTTAATATGTAACCACCTATTAAAATCTCATATAACGGCCCACAACTCATAAAAATAAGATGGATGGACTGTTAGTTTCGTGCCCCACTGTCAACTTGCTTTTCTTTGACTAACGCGAATTTAGAAAACATGGGAGAGATTTTTTACCAATCGAATGCAAATTTTTTAATCTTCCATTTTTTATGATTGAGTCATATCTCTTTTGTTTTAACTCGAAATTTTTAAAAAAAAAATTTACATGTAAAGAATGCATTAATTATGATAGACACAATGATATTCATTTTGCTACATTTTGAGCAAAAATATTAGTGATCATACCACTTTCATATTATGAAAATATTAGTGATCATAAGAGCAAAATAAATTAAAAGGAGGAAACCTACAACAAAAGGGAAATAATAAATTTAGTGTCCAGGTGGCTTCAAAAGAAAGATTGAAATTCCACAAAAATAGTGATTTGTTTTTAGTATAAGATATGGAATAGTGATCGTGGCCTTGTAGAAATGGAGAAAATTAATTCGTGGGATTGTAAGATGTTAAGAGAAAAAGTAACCGCTGCGGACGGTTTTAGCGAGAAGGCAGGGAGAGGAGAAGACTAATTAGTCCCTCCGACTTATGCGGTTTAAACACCACCGACTGATGTGGCAATACTTGTTTATTGACATTGCCTTTGTGTAGATGTAGATGAATTTGCCTCCCTTTTTCGTTTTCGCTCCAAAGTTGGGAAAAGTGGGACTTTGTTTTGGCCAATGAAAGAAAGGATGAGACCCAAAATCATTAAAAATTAAAACAAAAGAAAAGTGCACCTGGTTTCTCATTTTGGCTTCCCAAAATCCCTAGCTCGAAATCAGATACTCCCCACCTCCTTGTTCGTTCCCCATCACCAGCCTCATTGTTCCCTGCCCATCGCCAGTGTTCCTTACCCCATCAACGTCGTTCCTTTCCCCGTTGCCTGCATCCCTTACTCCATCCCTTCGTTCCTTCTCCCATCGATGGTGTTTCGTCCCCCATCGCCGTCGTTCCTTCCTTCCATTCAATCGTTCCTATCACCTGTAAAATGGAACACACCTCACTCATTTTGTGGAACGGGTGAAGGTCGAATCAGTCTCGAGGGGAAGGATTGAAAAGGTTCCTTCCTTAAACCATATCGTGCCGCCCTTTGTTGAATGGAATGCCCCTCAGCTGCAAGCATGTCGAGCTGGGGAAGTTGAGAAGCTGAGAGCAGACCACTAAGCCGCTGATCTCCGGGTAAGTCGGCGTTCATCTTCCCTGTCCACCCTTTTCATATGTGCATGTGTCGAGAGAAGCAAAACCATGATTGCTAAAAAGATGGATCTGTGTTATAGAGATGAAATCCAAGAAGGGAGCTCTTTTCTTTTTCTTCAATATTTATATGAAATGGGAAAATCGGGTTGATAATGCTCAATTGGATAGTGGCATTGCGTGTGTGGCAGCTGTGCGCAGAGCAGGGGATTCTGAGAATAGAGGTTGATGTACTACAAAGTACTAAAGAAAAAGGAAGCATTTCTTTTGTTTGTTTGGATGAAATCGAGCTTGGGAACAATTTGGCGGTGGGGGGTGGTGATATGGAATTACTGAGTGCGGAGTAGGATCTTCATTGGAGAGGATGGTTTATGGACCACTAATCCAACAATGATGGTTTTTTAAAACCCTTTTTGTTTCTTTGTGCTGATGTGATCGATAACTCGAACCGTATTACATTCTACAAAAGCTTAAGGATATTTGGATTAATTTGTTAGTGATAGAGCTGTGCTGATTTTAGACTGCAAGACCTGCCGATCAAACACTGTAAAATGCAGTGTGGATAACTTTAAGGCGCTAACGAACCATGACCACTAAGCCGCTGATTCTCCTTCGCTACTGACTCTTTCTTCTTTACAGCTTGCTCGATCCCTGTATGAGTTTCGCATTCCGCTTGATGAAAAATCATCTCCTTGCCTCTATACAAACTCATCTTCACACTTAAGGTTTGCTTATTTACCTTATCCTTATGGTTGACTTAGATGAAAATAAAGCATGGTTGGTTCTAATTAATCTATGCATTTTGTAGGTTTTTTTGGTGCTGGTGGTTGGTATCTAGTTGCAGAAGGGAGACTCTTGGATTCACGGTGCCAAGTTGGGGTTTAGCTAGTATTTGAAGGTATAACTGTAAACTGATTTTCACTTCTCTCCCAGGGAAGGCTTTATTTTTTGGATTGATATTCTCAAAATATGCACTAATGCATTTTGGCCCAAGCATTTCCCTATGGTCAGAACGCTAGAACTGAGGTTTAATGAGCGTTCTGAATTGGGGAAGCTTGTAGGTTACCTGGTTTATTATAGGAACCTTGTTGCATTAGTTTTTATCACTCCTTTCTTGTTGTGTTCAGCGAGATGCAAGGGTCTTGTTTATTGCTATAGATAAATTGGTTTCAATTGTCGAGTTGTCCTTGTTCAATTTAAGGTCGAAGGTTGTTGTGTTCGACGATGATCGATTGATTTTTGGTGTCTTTGTCCAGGCATGGGTGGCCTGATGGTCGTTGTGGGGTAGTAGAAAAAGTACCCTGTTTTCGGTTTTCTAGCGAGAGTGGGATGCGCTATTTTTGGTTTGCGGTTGGAACCTTTCTTGGCCACTTCAATGTTGTTTTTCTTTTGTTATTTCTTGGCTACTTTTTTTTATGTTTGTTATGTTCTTGTATTGCATCAATCATCTTTATAAAAAGATATATACATACGAACTGATTTGTCTTCTTTTGAGGGTTGTGCATGGATGCTATTTGTTTCTTGATGGTTTTTACTTCCTTTTTCAGTTAAAGTGGATTGGAGCTATTAGCCCGCCTGACTGCATCTAGCTCGTGCTATTTGTTGGTTCTTTTGTTTGTTTGCTTTGTTGGCAGGATGCTGCACATTTTATATACGTCCTCTTTCTCTTGACATTTATCTTTTTGTCCTCTTTGATCCTTGCTTTCTACATGGTTTTCTAGCATTCTAATAATACTTTGTCTCTATTAAGTAACAGGTCACGGATTAGTGTTAGTGTAAATTTATCAAACTTGATTATGATAAATGAAACTTATGATTGCAGGTTTGTGTGGGTCCTTTTATTGTTAGTAGTCTTGTCCACATACGGTTGCATCTTGGGTTTGGTGGTGACAAGAGGCTTCTGTTGCTACTAAGCTATTGGTATGCATTTCTTAACTTTATTTTTTCCTTGCCTATCTGAATTTTCTCTTACTCCATAATGGGGTACGAGGAAATGGAATTTGTTTCCAAACATCAAGTTTTAACTTTAGATCTAGTTATATACATGATATTTTGTTACTAGTTTGCCTCCTTTCTTTGTGAATGAAGAAGCTGGAGTAGTATAATACAGTGAACTTAGAAATTAAAAGCTGAACTTAAAATTTAATGGTTGAACTTATAAATGAAAATTTGAACTTAAAAGGTGAAATGAGAAACTAAAAGTTGAACTTAGAAGACTTTGTGCCTCTTTTTATGAAATTAGGATCCTTTTGCAAAATAAACCAATATTAAAATTTTAAGATACAACATGTGACGTGTTTTCTTTGTACATTAGGAAATGGCACCTAGTAAACAATGGATGAATCTTGTGAGCAACAAGTTGAATGTGGATTATAGAAATGGGGTTACAGAATTTCTAGATTATGCATTTCAAATGAATAAAGGAGAAGAGGAAATTAGATGTCCTTGTGTTAATGGAAGCGCCATGGATATGGAGGATACATACAATGAGAGACCAAATGATGAAGCAGAAAAGTTTTATAGGTTGTTAATTGATTCGGAACAACCATTGTATGATGATTGCAAGAGCTCCAAATTAACAACACTATTAAAACTCCTTCACATCAAGGCTCAAGGAAAATGGAGCAACGAATCATTTACTATGTTGCTCAAAATGATGAAAGAAGAGCTTCTGCCAGAAGCTTCTAATTTGCCGGATTCTTATTATGAAGCAAAAAAAAAAAATCCATTAAGGATCTTGGGCTCTCATACGTCAAGATTGATGCATGTCAAAACACTTGCAAGGTTTGTAAAGAGTCTTGATGGAAATTGATCAGCACAGTGGAGAAGTAGTGTGCAAAGCAAATGGGAAAAGGATCCCAAAAAAAGGTTTTGCGGTATTTCCCAATAAAACCACGACTGCAAAGGTTGTTCATTTCCACTAAGACTGCTTCCCTAATGCGCTGGCATCATGAGAACAAGGCAATGGATGGGGTTATGAGGCATCCGGCGGATTCGCTAGCTTGGAAATCATTCGACCAAAGCCACCATTTCTTTGCAAGTGACCCGCGAAATGTGAGACTCGCTCTTGCTAGCGATGGTTTTCAGCCATTCACGAATTCGAAAACCCCATATAGTATATGGCCGGTGTTGTTAATCCCTTATAACTTGCCTCCTTGGATCATCATGAAGCCCTCAAATTTCATTCTCTCAATGTTAATTCATGGTCCTGATAGTCTCGGTGATGCGATAGATGTATATTTGCAGCCTTTAATAGAAGAATTGAAGAGTTTGTGGGAAGAAGGTGTGAATACATTTGATGCATCAAAAGCAAAATTTTCAACTGTGAGCTTCCTTACTGTGGACAATCAACGACTTCCCTGCTTATGCCAATTTGTCAGGTTGGAGTACTAAGGGAAAGATGGCATGTCCTGTATGTACCAAAGACACAATGTATAAGTGGTTATACAATGGTGGAAAGCATTGTTATATGGGCCATCGACGTTGGCTTCCTAGTCGTCATAAATGGAGGAATGATGAAGATTCATTTGATGGTACGAAAGAGAAGGGAGGCTGCCCCAGACAGTTTTCAGGAGATGAATAGTTGAACAAGTTCAAGATCTTGAGGGAGTTCAGTTGACTAGATGTCCTGAAACCAAAGTCAAAGTCTCCCATGAAAATCGAGGGGATAATTGGAATAAGAAGAGCATATTCTTTGAACTTCCTTATTGGAGAACACATCTATTGCGTCATAACTTAGATGTGATGCACATAGAGAAGAATGTTTGTGATAGTGTGCTCGGAACGATTATGAACTTAAAAGGGAAGACTAAGGATACGCTGAAAACGCGTCTTGATTTGGAGGAATTGGGAATAAAACCAGAATTGCATCCTATTCGAGATGGTGGGAAGGTAACTTTACCTAATGCAACCTATACATTGAAGAACAATTCTTTAACAAGGTTTTGCCATTTCTTGAAGCGGTTGAAAGTTCCCGATGGATTTTCTTCTAATGTATCACATTGTGTGAATATGAAAGAATTGAAGATCTCGGGTTTAAAAAGCCATGATTTTCATGTTCTTCTACAACATCTTATTCCCATTGCCATACGCAGTCTTTTGCCAAAAGATGTTTGTGATAGTCTTATAAGATTATCCCAATTCTTTAAGATCTTGTGTTCAAAAACCTTGAAGTTGGATGAGTTGGACTATATCAAAACTCAAATTCCGTATACTCTCTACAAGCTTGAGAAGATATTTCCACCATCGTTTTTCGATATTATGCTTCACCTACCCATTCATTTGGCTGATGAGGCTATGGTTGGTGGTCCTGTCCAGTTTAGATGGATGTATCCAATAGAGCGATATTTGCACGAATTGAAGTCATACATTCGAAATAGAACCCATGCAGAGGGCTCTATTGCAGAGGGATACATTGCTTCAGAGATGTATGACTCTTTGCACTAGATATTTGAGTGACATCCAAACAAAGTTTAACAAACTCGATCGGAATGAAGATGATAATGAAATGGAAGACTTTTTGGGGTTTTCACTTGTTGGACGACCAGTGGGTGGTGGAAAGCCTCGTAACCTTAGTACTCAAGAGTTAGAGCAAGCTCACATCTATGTTATGAAGAACACTGAAGATGTGCAACCGTATTTTGAGTAAGAACTCTATCTCTTTTTAATGGAGCCGTGGTCAATAATTAATTCTTCTTAATCTGAAAATTTAAGAGTGGTATTGTTTAATTATAGGGAATTTGCTGAACTTCCTCAATATAATTCTTCTCAAACATCCCAAAATGAAAGTGCAAGCTTCATCAAATGGTTCAGAGAGAAAGTAATGTTCTTGGACTTTATCTACTCTTTGAATATATTTTATATCATCTTATATATGAAATTAAAAATTGGTAACATCTGTAGGTTGCAAGGTTGCCCAATAATGACAAAAGTAAGGAAACGGAGGAGCTTTTGTCATTATCGCGTGGTCCTTTTGTAGGTGTGAAATGTTATACAGGTTATGTTATAAATGGATTTCGTTTTCACACAAAGGACCATGATAAGCATTTGAAGACTCAAAGTAGTGGGGTTGTTGTAGTTGGTGATAACGGAGTTGATGTGGAAGCTGTGGATTATTACGGAGTGCTCAGAAAAGTGGTGGAATTGCAATTTCTTGGTGGAAGAACGCTAGCTCTGTTTTGCTGTGATTGGTGTGATGTGTATGATAAGGGAAAAGGTGTGAAGGTGGATGAAAATGGGTTTGTGAGTGTGAATCTCAAGAGGACTTTGAAAATGAACGAACCTTTCGTCTTAGCTAACCAAGTCTCTCAAGTGTTTTATCTTGATGACAATTTAAACAAGGGTTGGCACGTTGTTGTGAAAGTACAACCTAGGGAAATATATGCAATGATGGCTGAAGACAACAATGAGGAAGTGCCGAATGAGATCTAGCAATTATTTTTTCTTTCAATGTTTGTAATTGTCTTCTTCATTTTGGTTGGTGTCACTTGGTTTCTTCATATTGCTTCCCTAATGTTTGTAATCAAGAAATGTGACCCATGATATTTTTGCCTTAGTTTATCTTATTTGATTTGGGTAATTTTTGAATCTATTGTGTTGTCTTACTTTCTATTATCATTCCTTGCATCTACACAAGATAACATGACAGGAAAATCATCTCAAGTGTCAAAAGGGAAGAAGATAACTGGAGCAAGATTTGTTGCACCAGGGGCTTTAGGAAGGGCTATGAAACGTCCAAGTTTCTCTTCATTAAGTTCTTCATCAAATGTGCCTTCAAAGCATCATTCTACTTCACAAAATCAGCCCGTCGTGTGTAAGAAAATGTGATATTGTGTATCAAATTCTTTGTTTTTTCTGCTGTAGCATGTTCCCTAATTTTTTTTATACAGCCCCAAGAGCAAAAGGAGGCCATTAAAGCAGTGGTACATCTAGGACTAACAATGTAGCCCCCCAGCCAATGCTACGTTCCTATGGCCGACCATACAGTTGGAAGTGAACAACCTGCTGAAGGAGGTAAATTTTTCTGTCTGAATTTAGTGCACACTAGATGTTCTAGCTACTGCCTTACAATTGCAGCTTCGTTACACTAACCAGCAAATGTTTAAGCTACTGCATTTTGTAATATAATACAGTAGGTATACACGTATATGTGAGATGGAGACGAGATGAGTGCGTGTAAATTAATAAGATGTAATTAGTGCATAAACAAGATGAGAACCCATTGCGTTTACCTTGATGCCAATTGTTTTATGTTTACAGTAAGGTTTGTTTTGTTTAGTTTTTATACTTGCTTTATACTGTTTCAGAAGCGAGAAAAGAAAGAAACAAGCGGGGGAGAACTATTTTTAAGAAGCTTATTAGTTTGTGGCCCGGTGAGAAGTTGCCAATCATCTTCAAAGAAAGACGAGGGGCTGGTCGTAATGGTTGTGTTTGGACAAGCTATCTTGGCACAATCATAAGAAACTCACAAATGTGCCCGGTAAGAGTTAAGAGATGGGCTGACATAAGCGACGAAGAATTAGAACATATGTGGGCAGCAGCTAAGGTATTCGGTATTTTTAGGTTATTTTGTTTGTTCTTAAGTATAAAATCTAGGAGAATTAGAATGTAAGTATAACTATTGTTTTATTCTGTAGGAATACTTTACACATCCTCAAATGGAATCCTTTAAGAGGGATGTTATCAATCATATGCGAGGCTTGTGGAGAACTTGGAGATCTAAAATGAACTGTGAACATGTGAAGAACCATGATAACTTGGAAGACATCCTCAATGATGTTCCGGAATTCCTAATTAAAGAGGATTGGGAGTGGCTCGTGAAGGAAAAGTTCCTTTGTAAAGAATTTAAGGTAATATCATTATACTTTACTACTTTGGCATTCTGCTTTAGCTCAATGGAATTTGATATTTTATTTGATATTCAATTTTCTCTTTATATAGAAGATGAGCAAGACCAATGAGGAGAACAGAGCGTTGAAAACAATGAATCAACATAGTGGAAGAAGACCCGTTCGACAAATTGCGCTCGATTTGGTATTTGTTATTTACCTCCATCCTTTAAGTTATTTTGAATTTGAATGTTCTGAAACTTCCAATCTATATTTAGTAGCTTGTTGTATTGATTAAAAAACCAAAGTAATATAACTATAGTAGTAATACAAAGACAGCATGCTGCCAAATTTCTTGTTTTTTACTTGTAATTGTATTATTATATATATGCTACTCTAGTGTTACGGAAGTTAGTTCTCTACTAATGCAAACTCTATTTAATGCTTATGTATCGATTAAAGAACAAAAGTAACAGGAATACAAAGACAGCATGCTACCAAAATTGTTTGTTTCTATTCTAACATGTATTATATAATTATATATATGTGTTGCTTGTAGGAAGAGAAGTTGGGAAGACCTCCAACTGTAGCTGAGCTAGTGTTTAAGACCTATAAAGAAGGAGACATGATAAAAGATGATGCAGCAAATGAAAGACATGTAACTTCTATTCAAAATTCTTGTCTCTAATCACTTAGGTTGCTTGACTATTTTAACTGTGGTGTGTGTTCTTGATTAGGCTAAAATACTTGAGATAATGGAATCAAATCCGGACTTCACTGCACTTGAAGTGGTAGAAGCAATCTTAGGAGAACAAAAGCGTGGTCATGTGATTTGTTTTGGAGGTGGCTTAAGGCCTAAGGATTTAAAGAGCTCCACTTCAACAAAGGATGCAACGGATGCGAATTTGGAAGCCCAATTAAGACGGTCAGATGAAGAAAAGGAAGCTCTTCATCAGTCTGTCATCGAACTGAAGGGTACTGTTTCTGAACAAGCTGAAGAGATGGCCACTATGAAGGCTGAAATGAAGAAGTTGCAAGAGATGTTCGCAAGTAGTCAAAATAGACAACATTAGGTACGTATAATTCTTCCTCCTTGACAACTTTAGGACACTGAATTTTTATATGTTCATTGAGCTGCTATTTATTGTTGATTAGATATAGAACACTGAATTTCTATCATTTTATTGAGCTGCTGTTTTTTTAGTTGTATGGAGAGGTTGCCTATGTAAACAGTTTCAGAATGATGAATTTCTGGCTAGTTATTGAGCTGTCATTGTTTTTGTGGTTGGAGAGTGTAGTTGCTCATGAAAGTAATTTCAGAACACTTAATTTATGGTCCTTTGATGAGCTGCTGTGTTTTGGTTGTTTGGTTAGAGAATGCTGAATTCCTATCCTTTTATTGAGCTGTTGTTTTGTTCTTGTTTGGAGAGTATTGCTACTTAGGAAAGCAGTTTTAGAACACTAAATTAATGACCTTTAAAGAGCTGCATTTTTTTGTTTATTGGACAGTGGTGTTACTTAAAAAAGTAGATATGTAACACTCAATTTGTGGCCTTTTATTGAGCAGTCATTTGTCATTGTTTGGACAGAGCTGATTCTTTTTTTACTGGCACTAGAATTATTGGTTGTGGCAATGAATGCACTATATAAATTTTTGGTCAAATGTCGGAGAATGCATAACAATGATCCGAATATCTACCCATTATTGAGTGTAATTTGAAGCCTTTGCAATCTCATAAGAGTTTCAGTATATTTGCTTAAGTTTGTTTGTCTTAGTAGTGCATACAGTAGTAATAAGGGGAAGGAAAGTTGCCATGGATCATTGTCTAGCTCTTGGAGCATATGATAAGCATATTGTATATCTAATGTAAGATTTTGGTACGTGTTTTGTAGTGTTGTTTAACTAATCTAATCTTTGTAATCTCTTTTTTTAATGCAGAACTGCAACACAAGTTGGTGGCTGAAACCAAGGTGAAGCATAACAAGAGTAGTTCGACCTTGCACGTTGTGGAGTGCAATGGTAATTTTGTTTATAAGAAAGATAGAAACTACTCTAGCTTATTTTGTTGAAGCATTTGATATTTTGTGATATCATCAATTAGATAGGTACAATGTGTGATGATATAGGTACAATGTGACTAAAATGCTTCAAGAATTAGATTTCTGAATTGTAAATTAACGTTGGCGAGTAAATGATATGTGGATTACCAAGACTTCCTAATTGTTTCAAGTGAGATTTTTATCTTAATTATTATAACATGACTTTCATGTTACTTATAGCTAATATCCATAACAGAATATATACTGTGACTAGTCATCATTGATTAATGTCTAATAATAATAACAGGATTTTCCCGTGACAAGTAACAATTATTTATCACGGGAATAATCGTGATCAGTAAGAACTATTCATCACGGGCTTTATCGTGACAAATGGGACAAAACCCGTTGCTTTACTTGGTCACATCCCGAACATTCCCGTGACTGTCAGACGAAATCCCGTGACAAATATGTTAATTAGTCACAGGATGTCCCGTGACTATTATCTATTTCAGTCACGGGGACTTTTACCGTGTCTAATCCTTTGTCACGGGAAATACCGTGCCAAAATAGATCTATTATGGGATTTTTTCAGTAATTTTATATTTATAGTCACGGGATTTCCCATGACAATTGACATTCAATCACGGGCATGCTTGTCACGGGAATCTACCCGTGGCTAAGGGATTCAGTAACGGGAAATGGCTGTTTCGTCACTGGAAATCCCGTGATCGAAGATGTATTTTCTTGTAGTGCTCCATCCTTAATCGTGGCTTTGGACAAACGCTAGTCGACAAGAGCCATTTTGTGAACATCTACCCTCCCGTTCCAAAGGAAATTTCTTTGATATTTCTCCAACTCTTTGATCACCGTTGTTGGGGCTTTGAACAGGGAGAAAATATACGTGGGAGTACTAGAAAGGACCGACTTTATAAGAACGAGACGAGCACTAGTAAATAGATATTGACTTCCCCACCCACAAAGTCTTTTCTAATATTTACCAACAATCTCATCCCAAATCTCCCTGTCATTAGGTTTAGAACCTAGAGGGAAACCCAGGTAGTTGGGAGGATCCTTACTCCACTTGCAAACAAATATTGCCACGAATCAACCACCTCCCCGACCGTTTACATTAGTGATTTCTCCAAACTAATCCTCAACCCTGTCACAGTCTTGAAGCACACTAATGTAGCAAGACAATTTAAAACCTGTTCATGATTTGCATCACAGAAAATAAGAGTGTCGTCTGCAAAAAGAAAATGAGTAACCTCGCCTTGTTTCCTTTCTTCATTAATGTAGAACCCTTCTGATAGGAACCCAAATGGCCAAATATACACGTTTAAATTACTTGACGAAGAAGCTATCAAAGTTGGGAAGAAGTAGGGCAGAATTTGGTTAAGCATTGGAACAATTTCAGGTAGCCTACTTTGGAAGCTTGTATCTCCCAAATGGCTAAATGAAAAATGGATATCAAGGGCCTCTTTTGAAGATAAGGTTTCCATCTTTCCAATGGTATGATTTTTGGAACAAGATGAATCCATTAAGACCATTTTCCGGACGTCCAAAGTTGCTATATGGAAAGGTGAAAACTGCCTGAAAATGACTTAAGGCTGAAAACTGTTTCGTGAAGCCTAATTTGGAGCTCAATTCGAGGAGCATGGGTCTGATTCAAGTCCAAAAGCTTCCACAACATGAAAATAGGTATCTTTAGCTACAAAGGGAAGGCATTGGTTGAAAGATTGGAGTTCTGGAAGGCCTCAAACGAAAGGCAGGAAGTTAGTACAAAAACTGTTTTGCAGACAGTTTGCTTATGCTAAAAGGCAGCTTACTTGTGTTTCTAGAAAGAGAGTTTGTGGCCAAATTTTGTGTTCTTTTTAGGGTTTGTTTTTACCTTAATTTTTTCCTAGTTCCATTAGGTTTGTATAGGTTTTCTTTGACTTTAAATACCTTTCTATTTACGTTGTAAGGAAGCATCTTTAGTTGAATAAAAATTACTCGGCAGAGTTTTGTTCTTTTAGAGTGTTCTCAAGACTCAAATCCTTGATTTAGTTGTGTGAGGAATTCCATTGCTAATTCGAGAACCCTTGTCAAGATTTTCTGTGAGGATTCCAGAATCGGTTAACAAGTTTTCTTGTCAATCAATTAAACACCTTGATTGTGGCGAAATTCTACCTATCCATCATCTATCGTTCGAGTGTTCTTGGTTGCGTATTCTGATCAAACAAAGCACCCCCTGGTGCATTATCAAGTTGTATTAGAGCCTGGTTCAAGTTAGTGGTGAGAAGGATTGAAGGCTCAGTGTCGTACGAAAATTCAGCATGAAAACAGAGGAACAATGGTGTCCGAGGAGCAAGCACGTTCCATTGTATTCACGCGTTGTTCAACCCAATAGAAAACGTGTTTGGTTCTTCTTGATGGAGGCAGGGAGAGGAATTTGATTTCCTCTAGGACTGTGAGCAAGCTAGGGGTGCAAACACATCCACTTTCAAAGTCAAGCACCTTTTAATCTCCATACGATGGACACTCCAATTTTGTAATCTCCAAAGTAGCTACGGAATTTTCGATCGGACAATACAAAGACTAGATCATTTGCGACGTGGTTTACAATCTTCCCAACCACATCGTGTTGGGGAAGCCTTGGTTTCGAAATCGCAAGGTGGAGCTAGTTAGGCGTAGAAGCAAAAAGTTCAGAGTCAGGAAACGTAATAAAACTTTCGTATTGAATCCATTGCCTCTAGAGGAAGCTATTGGTGACGTGTAGGAAGTCCAAAGACTCCAGAAGGAGTACCATCAGGCCTTATGGTCACCGATTGTGTCTCCAAAAATCAAGAATGATCAAACTCTGCTCGGCAACGAACCCCATGTTTTCACCTCATAAACAGAGCATCGACGTCGGGTTTGCTGCTGACGAGGAGGAAGGAGATTCGGAGCCCGACACGACTAGAAAAGAGTTTGCAGAGCGAGAAGAAGGTTTGGAGAAGACTATTGAGTCGTGAATCGAGTCGGCGACGCGAGCAGTAGGGTGTCCAAATTCTCCGGCAAAACAGAGCCCTTCGACGGCTCTCGCGGCAGTACCAACCGACGAAGGGTCGACTTCAAAACCGGTGCTGACGCGATCCACATGACCCTAGAAATGTCAAAAGTTAATTCATTGGAAGTGGTTGTGCTTGAGTTGGAAGAATCAAAGAGCCCTAAAACCCCTCTATTTGTGAAGAATGTCGACCAAATTCACCCTGAATTGGTTGGAGAAATCGGGCATGATTCGAGCCCAATTGGCGCTTCAGAATCATTCATGGAGGTTCCAAGATCGTGTATGAACGTTCCATTTGACACGTCAATGCTGAAATCAAGAATACCCAATTTTAGTTAGGAGTCGCCGATTTCTGGAATTCCTCCGCCGAATTCTAGAAATTTCGAATCCTCCGACGATGGGAAATTCGGAGCTCAACAATTGGAGAGAATTGGGGTGATTCGAAGGATGGGAACAGATGGGATCGACTCCTGGCATCCAGGTGAGTCGATACGAGCAGTGAATCGGAATGAGAAACCTCCGAGACGAAACACCCAATTTTGGAGTCCTGGCTGGAAAACACGAACTCGCTGGAATCTGGAAAGTTTTTGTCGCAATTCAAAAATGTGCACAATCCGATTTGGGTCCAAATTTTATCATTGATTGTGTGGAAGGTGATCCATGGAGCTGCATAAAGAGGTTGAAGCCGATCGAAGCTGAATTTGAAGCTGACAAACTTATGACAAAGATTGTGTTTAAGCAGTCGTCTTTCGATCCAATTTAGGATCAATTCTGTGAATTTTTTGAAATGAAGAAGGCTCAAACTTTGAGGTCAAAGCTTTTTAAAGAGGGGGAGTCTGATATGATCCCAAATGGCCAACTTTACACGTTTAAATTACTTGACGAAGAAGCTATCAAAGTTGGGAAGAAGGGCAGAATTTGGTTAAGCATTGGAACAGTTTCAGGTAGTCTACTTTGCAAGCTTGTATCTCCCAAATGGCTCAATGAAAATTGGATATCAAGGGCTTTTTTTTGAAGATAAAGTTGCCATCTTTCCATTGGTATGCTTTTTGGATCCAGACGAATCGATTACGACCATTTTCCAGACGTCCAAAGTTTCTATCAAAAAGCTAAAAACTACCTGAAAATGACTAAGGCGTAAAAGTGTTTTTTGAAGCCTACTTTGGAGATTAATTCGATTAGCATGGGTCGGATTCAAGTCCAAAGGCTTCCACAACATGAAAATAGGTATGTTTATCTACAAAGGGAAGGCATTGGTTGAAAGATTGGAGTTCTGGAAGGCGTCGAACGAAAGGCACGAAGTTAGTACGAAAACTGTTTTCCTGACAGTTTCCTTGTGCTAAAAGGCAGCTTACTTGTTCTTCAAGAAATAAAGTTTGTGGCCCAATTTTGTGTTCTTTGTATGGTTTTTTACCTTAATTGTTCCTAATTCCATTAGGTTTATATTAGGTTTTCTTTGCCTTTATATACCTTTCTATTTACGTTGTAAAGAAGCATGTTTAGTTGAATAAAAATTACACGACAGAGTTGTGTTCTTTGAGAGTGTTCTCAAGAATCAAATCCTTGAGTTAGTTGTGTGAGGAATTCCATTGCTAATTCGAGAACCCTTGTCAAGATTTTGTGTGAGGATTCCATAATCGGTTAACAAGTTTTCTTATCAATAAAGTAAACACCTTGATTGTGGTGAAATTCTACCTATCCATCATCTATCATTCGAGTGTTCTTGGCTATGTATTCTTATCAAACAAAGCACCCCCTGGTGCATTATCACCTTCGAACCTCCCATTTTCCCTAACTTTCTTTAGCATCATAGAGAGAACTTCAATAATCACCACAAAGAGCCCTGAGGAAAGAGGATCCCCCTGCCACAAACCTTTAGATACCGAGAAGAAACCGTCGGCCTCCCCATTAACCAGAATAGATATGTTAGCCGAACACATCGAACCCTTCACCCATCTACTCCACTCCTCCGGGAAACCCATAAATCTAGTAATTTTAACAATGTTGCCCCAGTTCATATTATCGAACGCCTTCTCGATATCCAATATAAACATCAGCTCGGGTTTTCTATTCTTTCTTCTGCTATCCACAATTTCATTGGCCAGAAGACCCGCCTCAACAATCTGTCTCCCTTTTACCGACGCATGTTGTAGCTAAGATATCAACTAATTACGAAGAACCCCGCCCAGCCTTCTAGAAAGGACCTTGTTTATTAGTTTGTTAATGCTACCGATCAGATTAATCGACCTCAGGTCCTTGATCTCCTCTATGACTTCCTTCTTAGGCGCCAAATAAAAGAAAGAGCGAGTAACACTCCTAGGAAGAACTCCGCTCCCATAAAACTCATGGAAGGTACAAACAATCACCCATTTCAGTCAACCCCAACATTTCTTGAAGAATTCCATAGTAAATCCGTCAAGGTCGGGCGCTTTACTTCCACCACACTCCTTAATGCTCTCCCATATTTCGTCCTCCGAGAACGGACGTCTCAACATCAAATTGTTTATAGTTTAGCCCATATATGAAAAAGTCGTTATATTGTTCATAAATTTCTAAATCATATCAAATCTCATCTAACATATAGGTCATATGTTATGATATATGTAATAACATATAACATTACACCAAAAGAAAGTTCGTACTTGGATCCAACATATAGTGAAAATTTAAACACTCATATAACATTGATATTCAAATGTTCAATTTAAAAAACCAAAGATAGGGTTAGGTGAAGGAGAAAACCGAAAAAGATATGCAACCCGCAAACCAAAAGGGAAAATGATGTTGTATAACCTCCAACACAGGAATCTTGTTGCAGGCCGAACTGTGAGTGTGTGGTGCCCATTTTCCTCACCCTATCCGAGTCAATTTGGAGTCAACCTGCAGATAACAATAATGATAATTAATAGACCCCATACTAATATACAATGCCCGATTTTGATGTATTTTTATTAGTTATTTTGTAAAATAATTTTTTTATTATTCTTGTAAATTTTGTCTAGACATACATACGACTCAAGTGAATTCCAATAATGATAATTAATAGACCCCATACTAATATACAATGCCCGATTTTAATGTTTTTTATTAGTTATTTTGTAAATTAATGTTTTTTATTATTCTTGTAAATTTTGTCTGGACATACATACGACTCAAGTGAATCCCAATCTCCTATTTTACATAATGAATGTGTATCTTACGTTGCTGTTAAAAAGGCACAAGTGATGATCCATAACGCCAATTACCACCATTTTGGTAATCAATGGTCTACATGATTTTGATATAAGTTAAAGATCTACATTCATTTAAATTGCTTAATTTGAAACTATACCCAAATTATTCTCAGAGATCCCTATAAAATTAATAAACACTCTGGAAAGAAATTGGTATATCTTGTGTGTTATTCTGAGTTTATTGAGTTAAGCGGCGGTGTCAAACAGAGCCGAAACAGAGGACTCTGACGGAACCCACTCCTTTTGATCGTCAATTTTTGCGTCCACTGTCTGGGTTTGTGTCACGAAGGCGGCCAGTTTGCGGAAGCAGTGGAGGAAAATGCTCTTTTTAGTGACTATGATTCCCGCCAGCCGGCTGACCTCCCCAACCTAGCATGAGCTGCATTGCCAACGTAGCAGGAACAATTTTTTTTTTATTTTTTTATTTTGAGATATCAGATATGGTTCTTATCTTCTTATCTACTCTATATATACAAGATAACAGATCGAGAGCTCTTGACCATGCACAACAAAATGGTTCAAACTAATTATAGTACTCCTCCTACCGATTGGTCACAAGAAACACTAATAGCAGCCGCCGACGAAGAAATCCCGACGATCGACTATTTCTCCCTCTTCTCCGATGACCCTGACCGGCGTTCCACAGCCCTGGACTGCCTCTCTACAGCTTGTGAACACTATGGCTTCTTCAATGTACGTATTTGTGCTTAATTATATATATTCATACACACTTTTAGTAGTATTGAGTTTGGGTTAGATTTAAATTGGGTCATATTTGGTTCAACTCGTTTGGGTTAGACCCAAATGAGTCAAATTGTGGGATCTAGATGATAGTATATACAAAAAAAAAAAAAAATTAATATCAATAACCACATTCAACCGAATTATACGTCTTTAATGTATGTATGCTTCCATAATTTGAGTGAGTGGGATCAACGAAATAGTATGAGTGTTATTTAATAATGAACACTATTATATATGTGTTTGTTTACGTAAGTACAGTTGGTGAACCATGGGATTCCTGCTGGAGTGATCGGAGGTGCTTTGAGGGGGATAGCCGATTTCTTCGAGCAAACGACAGTGGAAGAGAAGAGCAAGTACAAGAAAGGTGATCCCGGGGCTAGGATTCTTTGGGATGCCAGGTGTCACGCTGGGGAGAACAGGGAACATCTCAAGCTCCTCACTCGTCCAACATTCCATTGCCCTCCTAATCCACCTTCCTTTCGGTACGTAACAACAAATTAAATGAGTCAAGTTTTACCTCATTCGAGCTCGATTTATTTACAAGGATTGAAAAATCGTACTAGAAGTTATACCGTACAAATCAATAGTAGTAGGATAGTTTATACTGAAACTGTAGTTCAACCTTTTCACAGAGAAGCATTGAGAGAATACGAGAGGAGATTCCACGAAGTGAAGATGGGATTAGCAAGGGCTATGTCCTTAATCTTGGTACATGAAGAGTCCTACATTGAGAAAGCTTTCGATCTAGAGTCAGGCTTTGATGTGGCTGCCATGAATCGTTACCCACCAAACTTCCAATCGAAGGGCACCTTGGGACTGGCTGAGCACACCGACCCTGGTTTCATCATCTCCCTCATCCAAGATACGGATGGCGGCCTTCAAATCCTAACCCATCAAGGACAGTGGATCGACGTCCACATCCCTCCCAATGCCATCTTAATTCAACTCGGGGATCAATTGGAGGTATATATTTATATGATCGATCACCAATTAGTTTTGTGCAAGTATCGTATGAAGTTGGTAATTCTCGTATTATGTATATCAACATAGGTCTTAACCAATGGCAAGTACAAGAGTCACATCCATCGCGTGCTGGTGGGTGACTACAGGACGAGGAGGATCTCGCTTGGCATACTCCATGGGCCATTCGTAGAACAATTTGTAGCTCCGACATCGGAATTCATGGACGACGCTGACTCGACAGCTTATCGTGGAACGACCTACTCAGATGCTCTGCAAGCCAATGGTCGTTACGAAATTGAAGTTCAGTCATGCATCGAACAACTTAGAATGCTACCTCTATAATTGATTTATCGGATATACATATCATCATATATATGGTATGGATGGCGTATCTTGTTGAGTTGGGTGGTACAACACTACCGACACAAAGTAGATATTCCAATGTGCGTCAAATTTGAACGAGTGTTTTTGTTGTGTTTTGCTCCTCCATCCGGCCACATATTTAGAATGACCCAACACCGTTTTATAACACAACATTTGTTAAAAAAACATGACTATATTTTTCGTCTAAAGTTCGACAATCTTTAGTAAATTTTTAGTTGAGACATCCTTACTAGTTACTAAGGAACCAAACTAAGACTAAACTGCAATCCTTTAGAATCTTTAAGAGAATGCATGTTAAGTTTTTGTCAATGTCTTAAATTGAAGGTTGAGATGTTTAGAAAATAGTCAATATAGGATTTTTTGTGTTTCTTTTAGGGACGATAAATGTTTAGATTACGAGTGAGTAACTGATTCTTTACTCATCTTCATAACATATATTTTGGTTGAAATTCTTTCATCAATAATATCAATGACTTTTAGATTAAGAACCAACAATCATAGAAGACAAATTATATTTAATTCTCTTTCGTTATGTTTTAAGCTAAAGTTCAAGTGATTCAAACGCGAAAATTAGGCACATATTAGATGAGGAAATAAAGTTTTAACTTGATAAATACCTATACACATATGATACAAATCATGTAAGCTAGAGTACGTACCTGGTTTCTCATCTTCGAACTGCCATTGACGGCTGCCAATACTTCCGTTTGCGTTTCACTATCACTCCATAAAGTTCCCAATACTGTTAATCAACGTACAAAAATCCATATATGTATATGAATTTCTATTCAACCTTTTCATCGATACTCTGCTTAAGTTTCCATTTGATCATCCCCTCGTCAGACACAAGGTCAGCCGGTTCGAAATAGGCAGGATTCAGAAATTTAGACTAGCAGTTCCGAGTATTCTCAACCTTGTCCTTCAAAGGATACAATATCACAAAGACCAAATAACTTATCTCAAAGTATTCAAAATGCTTCTCTGGGGACTGGGGGGCGCTCAACCTGAAGCTGAATTGGGGGTTACTCGTGGATTTGCATTCGAAATAAGTGGAGTCGGGGATCCCCCAATTTTCCAATGACAGCATCACAGTGAGCGCATTCGGATAGAGCGCTCTTATATAATCCAAGCAAAGTCTTTCTCCTCTAATACCAACGTCATCTTGATCAATGGTTTGATTCGCGAATATAATAACATCACTTAGGATGTAAACTAAACGAATCATAGGTGTGTTATTGGGGGGTGAGGGGGCGAAGATGCTTGACATGTTATAACATATATTTTGGTTGAAAATCTTTCATCAATAAATCTCTAATATATCAATGACTTTTAGATTAAGAACCAACGATAATAGAAGACAAATTATATTTAATTCTCTTTCTTTATGTTTTAACCTAAAGTTCAAGTGATTCAAACGAGAAAATTAAACACATTTCAGATGAGGAATTAAAGTTCATTATCTACAATAAATGCACAATAGATATTATTCTACGAAAGTATAAGCGGGTATAGTAATATACGGTATGGCAGTAAGGTTTGTTCAAATTTTTTATGAATAATTTATCCATTTATTGGTGCAAAATAAATAAATTTTTAATTAAATTATATTCTCTTAAAAGTTTAAGCAAAATTTTTATCAAATTCATTCATTGCATATAGAATAACTATTCATAGTAATTAAAAGGGTATTAAATGAAATTTATAATTTTTGTCAATAGATAAATCCCCCTCCCCCCACTAAATATTGTTCACTCGAACCATGTAAATGTTGGATCAGATTATTCGACAAAGAAATATAATTTATTAACGGAGAATAAAGAAACATATCAATTTAATCACGTGCAAATTAATTTTAATAACATATTACTTATAAAATAAGTTTAGTTTAGTAAAATTATTATTTTTCGTTGGGTCATTAAAATTATTATATGGTTTCACGTCTAACGATGGTTTTGCTTCTTTTATATTTTAATGATTAGACTTAAGTTCTAATTGCTAGTTTAACCAAAATGCATCTCATCCATCATAATTGTATATATTTGGTAACTATATTAATATGTGTGATACTGATAAAGAAACACGTTTCAGGGGTCGAGACGTAATCTAGTTAATGAGAAAGAATTTTTTTTTTCAAAATGATAAGAAATTATCTCTATATTAATGTGATACAGTAAACAATGTAGGTAACACATTGGCTTTAACAGAACTAATATTTTAGAATACGATTGTCATGTGAAAAAGGATACAAATAGAAATGTCCCATAAATTCAATATTTTTAATGGTATTATCTCAAATTACTAAAAACCCTTAGTTGATCTTAGGGTCATACAAAAAGTTATGGTAGGATTTTGAGGGTTACATTTGGTTAAATTGTTTCTAAGAATAAAGAGTTGTCAAAGATTAATCCAAAGAGTTATTTTTCTATTGTAACTCGTCCATGATGGATGATTGAGATTAACACTAAAAATTATTTGTAGAAATTATGGTTCTCTCTACACCTATAAATAGTATGATTGTATAGGATTTTTATGAATAGTAGTGTGTATTATTATGATCACACAAAGGGGTTTATATAGATTACAAGACTTTGACAATAAGTAAGAGAACCACAATACTAGAAAGACACGAAAATACTAAGAACTATACTAGAAGGATAAGGAAATATAATATTATTCCTTATCTATCTCTAACACGCCCCCGTAAGATGACGGTGTGAAGAACAACATCAGTCTTGACCAAAATACGCCAATCTTGAAGAACACGCCCCCGCAATGTGATGGTGTAGAATGTGATGCAAACTCGTTGAACTCTCGTGCTTGAACAGCGAAGCCAACTAAGTGTCGTCTTGGAGAAGAAGAAATCATCAAACTTGCAATTCATGTGTTGCAACGAAATTCACTCGTTGTAAAAAATTGACCAGAAACGAGATGAACATTAATCAATTGGTTTTGACGATACCAATAAACGGAAACTGGTGTAGGATACGAGGCATTCATCCGAATGAATGTTGTCGGGGAAGCTTTCTTCGTTCCATACACGTGAAGGAGAGATGGGTGGAGGATGATCGTGGCTCCGCCATATAATTCTGCAACAATCTAAAAATAAGATAAGAACAATAACATCGGCTATAAAAACCGAATCTTGATTTCCAAGGACAAGGTGCCAGTGGTCGATCGACAAAGCACTAAAATTATTAGAATCGCCCCATTCGAAGCAGGCGAATTTGATTCCAGTTTTTTTTTGTCAGATTTTTTTTGTTTGTTTCCGACGGTCAGAAATAAAAAACCACTTGACCAGTTCGAGTGGTTTGAATGGTTAAATATTCCGGCCGCTTAAAAATCAACCCTTCTGACCGCAACGGCTTCTGGAGGGTTCCGGACCGAGCTAACGACCGAGTGTCAATTTTACCGGTCCGACCGGCATGCTCACTTCGGTCTTAATAACACCGCTAATAAAGCATCGAGAAGGCAACAAGAAAGAAAAACATGAAAGAGCAATTGAGAGATGCAAAGGTTGAATTTGCTCAAAGTACAAGCGAACTAGGTGAGTTCGGACTCATGATCGGGACACGAAAAGGAAAAAAGAGTTTAGTGTTCCTGGATCAAGACTGTTAAGATAAAGGCTCTGATACCATATAGGAGCTTTATGAATAGTAGATTTTATGGATCCTACAACACTACAAGAAACATAAGTATTAACGACAGCTTCTTAAAGACGGTCATCAGAAACGTCATTATCTATCAGCTCCACTACGGAATATTTGCCGTCCAAGTGGCCGTCGTTATCCACGCGTCATTTTTCCCACGTGAAGCTTCCTCGTGGCTTGTACCAAACTTTTGATTTTAATACTATTTTATGCTACACTTTTTTAGTATTATAAAAATATACTTTTCAGAGTTTAAGAATAGAAACAAAATAGAGAAAATCCCTCTGTCCTGCTCATCATTCTTCCTATCCTTTCTCTCATCGTTCTTCAGATCTTCTCCTCTCTGTCCCAAATTTCTAAATAAAAACCCTAATTTTTGTTGGAAGGACGATAAGAAGAAGATTTGAGAATGCAGTTTTGTGGAGATAAACAGACCGCTCCAGTCATCCTCATACTCGTTCATCACTGTGGATGCTAATGACATCGGCGATGGACGGCGACGTTCAGATTACCAATCCGAGCTTCGTTGTGTTTGAGAATCGATTGAAGGGTTCTCCGTTGCCATAAGATCCAGATTTTGTATATCATTGGAAAGAGGATGGGTGCGGCAAGATCTCATCGACGAGGAGATTACTTGGCTGTGCTCTAATGAGCTTCGTCGAGAATTTCAATGGAGGTTAACAACTGATACTGCTAGCTAGTTTCAATTCATTCGATTAATTTATTTCCTTGGGCAATATATGGGCATATTCCTATACATTAGGATTGAGGCCTGATTCTTTACTAGATTTTACTTGACTTAACCGTGGAATTGTTGCAATCTTAGGGTTCTAGAGTCATTGGGGCTTGACTGTATTACTGCAGGTGTTTTCCCCGAGCGTGGGCAATGGAGGCAGATACAACTTAACAATTTCGTAAAAAAATTGAAGAGTCAATGTTGTTTTGGATGCATGTTTCTGTCATCCCCTGTTCGCTACCGTTTGTTGTTGAAGCTAGCCAGCTACCTTAGTGATCTTAATTTTCTTATGGTAACTGATTTATTTTGTATGTTTCCTTTAGCATGGAGGCCTTTGTATCGAGATGCTTTTGGGGTTCATCAAGAAGAACAACCAAGTTTTGATGTAACTTTCTTATGCTGGTTATGCTCTTCTCACTGACAGGCTGAGTAATCGATGTTATGGTATTTACCTTGAAATCATATAGAGGAGGAGCCAGTTGATAAGAGTAAGCATTGGGGTAATTTGGTAACGAGGAAGATATGGAAGAAGAGGAACTTGAGGGTGGCATATATGTTCACAGTATTTCAAGGTATCAAGTTACTAATGTTTTTGCACTTTGATTTCAGTGAGGCTTTCGTTCTAGTATTATCAAGAGTTCGATTGTTTGGGTTTCTATATCAATCCTTTATTTTCTTTCATACAGTACACCAACTGGTGTTGAGACACCTCTTTTCTAGAATTATCTTTCCCACCTTGTGTAAGAATATTTGTTCTCTTATGTATTCAGCACTTTCAAAATATTTTGATGTCAACTAAGCTTCAGTTTCCACATGGCGCTTTGGAGAAGCCGCATCCAAACTGTGTAGACCTGTGCAGAAGCCTTTGATGCCATAAGCCAGGTACCTATATCCATGTATGTTAACGTACCTACTTGTAGCCTTAAAATGGTATTGTTTGATTGGTAAGTGAAATTGTATCCTACTTGGTTGCTGCTTTTTCCCCTATCAGTGTATGTTGTTGTGTATAACTTTATATCTAAATGAGTGTATGTTGTTGTTCCCATCAAATTGAGGGGAACTAGTATAGTAGATAGCTTATTTACTCTGTTTCCTTGCTTTTACTGTGAGAAATTGTGGTAGCTAGATGCATTCGAAGTGAAACTCTAGGGATTCTTCTATGCTTATAATTAGAATCTGGGTTGTTGATCATGTCCTCTCAGTTGACCTAAAATGGTGGATGTTCTGTATTTTACCCTCCTTGCGTTTATTGCAGAAGAACTCTTGAGGTAGCTAGATGTATTAGGCTAACTCCCTGTCAGGTGAACTCCTATGTGTTCATTATTTCCTTAAGAGCAGATCTTGTATTACTAATACCAATTTTGCAGGCAAGACTCAAAGTAATGGTAAAGAAGGCAAAAATGGGTTATCCAGATTCTGGAAGAGTTTCAGAAGGTGGAGAAAAAAAGGGTTCTTAAGAGCACTCTCTGTAATGATAGAATTCCAGAAGTCACTATATGGCGTGTATGTTTCTTTCCGAGAGTTCATGAAATTGACTGTAATGCCTAGTTCCTTTCTCACTTGGAAAAATGACTTGTTTCTCTTCATCTTTCCTGTCATGTGGATTTTAACTTGTCATTTTCATTGTTAATTTCAGTTGGTATTAACTTTTCTGGCGATGGACATATTCTTGTATGGAATGGCTTATCAGGAGTTGACAGTGCAGTTGCAACTTGCAAGGGAGGCAAGGATATTGGATAAGTACAATGATTGAAACCTTAATTTTCAATTTCTCTTGATATAATCATTAGGTTGTTGTTCAATTTCGTTATAATCAAATCAATTGGATGTGGATATTGGATATGTGCAACCAATGATTGTTGTCTTTTCTGGACTTTAAAAAAAAAATCTGGTAATAGATCTGGCCTTTTCATGGTTTAATTATATCTGCTGCTACTTTTCAGAATTGCGTAAGTGTTCTGCTACTCATCAAAGAGACGTTCTTCAAACATGGTGAGAAGGAGACCTTAAGGTCTTGCGTGAAAGCGCTTAATTTCTCCTCCGTAGAGAGCAAGTGGGAGCTTAAAGATTATGCTTGCCGGATGAGCTTATTGCTAAGCTTAGATCTACTTTCAAAGAAGCTACGGTAAAGGGCTACGGTAAAGAAGCTACGGGAAGATCTTGCTACAGAATTCAAGATGCGAACTTAGGTATGTTCCTTCCTTCCCTTGCACTCAACCCAGATGAAGGATGGGAGAAGATAATAACTACTATATTTCTTTTTTCTCAACTTTATAGCATGGCATTTAGTTTTTATTCGGTGACAACATGTGCCGCCCTTAGCTAGAGTTCCTTACCTGAATGAGCAGATTCGAAAGAGTTGGCTATTCTTTAAGTTCATTTCTATGGTGATCGGTTTACATTTATAATGCTTGTGAAAATTTTGTTGCATTATGATAAAGTAAGATCGACATTATTGTTCATAATTTCTATTTTAACCTTGAATGGCAGTTAGTGTCCTGAGTATGGTTCTTCTGCACATAAATTCAATGGAGGGAATGTTGCGTTGTAATAAACGTTCTTGTGTATTTTATTTTTGTTAAACTTTAGGTAATGTGAGTGGAGGAAATTGCAAAGAGTTGGCGGGGCAAGAAGATGTTGATGGATATTTGGTTGGTGGAGCTTCTCTCTAGGTGATTGCGATTGAGTAAAATTGTCATCAATTTATTGAGGGTCTTCTCTTCAATATTTATTCCCTGGCTTTTTTACCTGACTCTCTCATTTTACCTCTTTGTCAGCCTGAGTTCTTCAAAATCATGAAGTCTGCCACTGTTAAGAAGAGCACTTGAGATTTGGATTGATGTAAGAGTGCCCCGAGCTCATCGAATTCATTTATGACATCATGAAATTAGCCAAGAAACATAGTGACGCTGGGGAGGCAGAGATTTTCAGACACGGAGGTTAGTTTCTATCTTGTTACATTAAATGTCAAACTATCAAGAATTATCAAAAGGGGTAACTGCTGTCATTCGTAGAAATTTAATATATGAACTGAGAATTTCTCTTGTAACGTTAGGAAGTTGGTTTGTTAAGGACGAAGGAGAGGCATTCTTCTTCAAATTTTGGCATTCCACGTACCCTTTGTGTTAGTCGTCAAGCTTGCTTATTTTGGGAATGCTAGTCTTGGGTGTGGGTCAAAATGCAAGTTGCTCGGTCTCATTGTAGTGTAATCTGGACAGACCTATCATTGATTGAAGCCTGTGCCAAAGTTGAAGTTATAGTTCCTAAATGTTGTGTTTTCCCGGTAGCCTGCATAGCGTCACTATGGTTCCTTCTGGGGACTCTCTTGTACTACTTTCAATATTGTTTCTCTGCCCCTTAAGAAAAGTTTTGTTTACCTGCAGCTTTAATTGACTAGCTGTTTGTTTAATTGTTCTTTTGATATCATAAGACCTCATCAGCTTAATAATCCTAGCTTGTGAAAGTATTTTGTACACACCGTTGTTTCTTAGTACTTGCATTCTGTTTTCCGTGGTTATTATCTCTGATTTGCTTCCTGTTTCCTTGCAGTGCGAGATTCTTTTGTTTGGTGAGATGCAGTGCTAGATTTCTGATATGCTGTAAGAGGGGCTGGTGGTTTTGCAAGAAGGACGACAAAGAGGTTTTGAACTTTCACAAGGAACATTAGTTGTCATATATATGATAATGTTAAACTTTAGAATGTTCAAGGGATTTTTGGTTGAGGATTGATGATTTTATTAATATGAAGGCTTTCCAAAACTAGATTTGTGTGATTTTGTTGGTTAATTTTTGCTCAAATTACTATTATTTAGTTCTAGTTGATTGGACTAGGTCACAGGTACTACTTGGAAAAGCAAGCATTTTAGTGACACATGTATTTAATTTAGCGACGGTTTTGAACGTAGCTAATCCCTGAAAGAACCTTTCGACTAATACATATAATGACAGTCATTTTTAAATTAGCGACGGTCATGCCCGTCGTTAAATTGTACCGACGGTTGAGACAACGGTCGTCCAAAAGCGTCGCAAACTAATTTAAGGACTGCTGGGTCAGTGACAGTCGCCTGTCCGTCGTTAAAGTTTTTTGCGACGGTTTCAACCGTCGCTAAATAGAAAGAAAACCGTCGCTAACGAGCTGCTTTCTTGTAGTGAATTACATGTCTGATTGCAATAGAGTTTCTTATTATGTATTAGTAGTAATTCATGTTATTGGCAATAATAGGCTTAATTGCAAGTTTGGTCACCCGAATTGCTTAAAAATTTCACGTTTGCCACCCGAATTGATTTATTTCATTTATAGTCACTCGAATTAGTTGAACAGTCCAAGTTCGGTCACTCTCCGTTAACCTCCGTTAGACTCCGTTAATGACGACCGTTAAGTGATGACGTGGCTAACAGAAAGATACAGTCAGCACATTTAAACATTAAAAAACAACGACCCGACCCGACCCGCCAGCTCAGCCTTACCAGCCAGTCAGCCATTGTTGCCCAAACCCGCGAACCAATCAAATTAATTGACCCTAAACCCAACCCCACACGAGAAACAACACATACTTCGGAAAAATTCATTTCATAGCTTCTTCCACTCCCCATCCGTTCATCTCCCAAACCCTAACAAATTCTCCATCTCTCTAGATCTCTCGCTGCCGAGATCTCAACTCCGGCGAGATTTCCCGATGAATGTGACACCACCCTCATTAGTACTCATTCAAATCTCCACCCGGATCTCATTTTTGTTCTCTCTTGCATGAGCATTTGGAAATTAAAAAATGGCTTCAGCTTGCGTCAACAACATCAGAGTTTCGCCGGAGAGCTTCCCGTCGCCGGGGACGTACTCCTCTTATGGCTGGCTGAGTCCTCGCATCTCATTCAGCCGCGAGGATAATTCCTCGTCCAAACACTACCACCAAAAACAGCCGTCGCTGCCCTCCAAGCCAGCTCCGGCTATTTCTCCTCCTCAACCTCCGATGGCTGCGATTCCGCAACCGGAGCAGCAGCAGCAAGATCTCCTACCGGACTTCGAGTTCTACCTCGACGACCCCGTCGCCATGCTCCCCATCGACGAGCTCTTCTCTGAGGGGAAGCTGGTGCCGATGCAGGTCACGAGCTCGATGCCTTGGTCGTCGACGGCAACTTCAGCGGAGTTTTTGGCCGGAATCGCGACAACATTGGAGGCGAAATCTGGCCGGAGGATGGAGATGGAGCTATCTGGCGGGATCAACGGTACAACTGACCAGTACTTGTTCTCGCCGAAGGCGCCTCGATGTTCGAGCCGGTGGAAAGAGATTCTGGGGCTGAGGAAGTTTTATCAGAACAACAGCTCCAAGGCGGCGGCGTTTCCTTCCTCGTCGTCTTCTTCCAACAATAACCAGAAATCATTGAGGCATTTCCTCCATAGAAGCTCGAAATCCTGCAACAGCTGCGGCAATTCCTCTTCTAATTCCTCGCTCGATGGTACCCTAAGTCTTCCATTGCTGAAATCAGACCTGGACTGTGACTCGTCGGTTTCCCTCTCTTCATCCCGCTTATCGCTCTCATCCTCGTCATCCAGCCACGAGCACGAAGATCTCCCCAGACTCTCCCTCGATTCGGAGAAGCCAAATGCCGCTTCTAATTTGAGCCTGACATTCAACCCTTTGCAGAGTCCGAATCAGTTTGTTCTGAAATGAATTTTTCCGCCATTGTTAGAGGTGAAGTGGGAGGAGGAGGAAAGGAAGAGGTGGATGGGGATGGGGTGATTCTCGCGCATATTAAAGAGGAAGAGATGGTTAGGGATTCACTTTAGAGGGGTAGACTTATAGAAGGGGGCTAGATTCAAGGGGGGGTTGGGTCTCGGGGTTGGGTTTAGGGTCAATTAATTGGGTTGGTTCGCGGGTTTGGGCAAGAATGGCTGACTGGGCGGGTAAGGCTGAGCTGGCGGGTCGGGTCGTCGTTTTTTAATGTTTAAATGTGCTGACTGTGTCTTTCTGTTAGCCACGTCATCACTTAACGGTCGTCATTAACGGAGTCTAACGGAGGTTAACGGAGAGTGACCGAACTTGGACTGATCAACTAATTCAAGTGACTATAAATGGAATAAATCAATTCGGGTGGCAAACGTGAAATTTTTAAGCAATTCGGGTGACCAAACTTGCAATTAAGCCGGCAATAATATGATGGATAGTATACTGATTCTACTATATAATTTTCAAAATTGCTACCAATAACTCATAAAATCAATACTACACCCACCATATTACTACTACGCACCTAAAACAAAAGAGTAATGTTTTAGCCGCATGAATAATAGTAATTTTTATTAGTTCTTGAAGAGGTAAGAGTGTTTTCCATGTAAATTTTTGGGTACCGATCGAGAGCTGTGATGGAGAGGAAGAGGAAGAGAGACGTGATGGAAGGGAGGAGAGATAGGAAAAAATTGTAACCGCATTCAATTACAATCCCGAAAAATTTGCCCACATAAATAAATAAATTTAAAATTTCTCTCATATTACTAATCTACCCTTCCTTTATCTGTAGCCATTAAATTTAAAATAAAATTAAAATATTTAAATGCTAGTTAGTATGGTGTTCCCATGTCTTCCAGCTACTTTATCGCCGACTTTGATTTCACGTTTTTGTAATATATATACACGAATCGTTTCTGGATTATAGCTGGAACCCCCCGTTTCCTGATCCATCTCACATCAATCACTCGACCCCTACCACCTATAGGTAGTTTTAGACAGGTTTCCTTTGAAGTAGATACCTGAATTCCAAGGATAGCTCGTAATAATCTATCTTCCGGGGCATACGATGATTCTTTCGCGATTTGAGGCGTTAATTTACCTACTAAAATATCACCTGTCTCGACCCAAGATCCCAACATAACAATTCCATTTTTGTCTAAATTTCGGAGTAAATGGGCTTCTAAATGTGGTAGCTAACCTTCTATAAAGTTAGCACCCAATCTGTTCCCCAGAGATGAGAGCAGTTTTTCAGCATTTCGAATTTTCTGCAACGAGAGCGAAAATAGGAAGGGTAATTGTGTCTTCACAATCATTATTTATTTTTCATTCATAAGAAAAAGGCGAAATACATTGGTATAGCCAAACATTTTTTCCTTGTGACAGTTCTAGCCACAACTTTCAGTAATGACAAATCTAGCCAGATTTAGGATATTGTTTGGACAATTATAGCCATTTTCGTTATAAACTTTAACAGCGTTAAAGGTTTCTTTAACACCGTTAACGGTAAGCTGAGGTGGACGTACACCTATCCATGTCAACTTCCACATCAGATGCCACGTCATGCACCTAGATGCCACGTCATATTTAATAAAATAAAAATAATTTCAATAAATAATTAATTTTCAGAAAATAAATTGAGGAAAACAAATTAAAATTTTTAAGCTTATTTTCATTTTTATGTCTTCCGTTGCTGACTCGGTAACTTCTTGCCCGATCTATCTCCAAACAGTGTCCTCCATATGTGAAGTAACTACCATTCCAAATGCAGAATTTGTCTAACAAATTCCCTCCCCCATGCTTGTTTGTGTACAGGAAGAAACAACTCAATATGGGAAAGGTTCTAGACAAGTATATTGCTAAAACGGTAAAAAAGAAGCAGCTCAACAATTGAATTTTAGATTTTTTTTCTTGAACAAACGATCAATGTAAAAATGTACAGAAGCAACGATTAATACCTAAAATAGGAGCCAAAAGTGTGATAATAGTTGAGGAATGAAACATAATATTTACACGAGCATATCAAAATAGCCTCTAAATGCTAACGACTAATAAAAAACTTGTTGCCTCAACAAATTTCCACTCCATCTAAGGTTGCGTGAGTGGCGCTTGACTTCCTAGGCACTCCGTCGCAGTTTAATGAGTTCCACGAACTGGATTCGATGGACCAACAATAGTAGATTGTCCATTAGCTCCATTAAGGTGTAAAGAGAAAAACCAAAATGATTATATTCTTATAAGCAACATTCAAGCTCACATACAACATATAACGAATGAAATAAAGTAAGCATACAAAAACCAAAACACATCAAGAGGTATAACTTCACTTACTTGCACCCCTGCTCCTTTGTTCAAAGGGCATTTCCTTACATTGTGTGTAGATTGTCCACATTTGCTACAATGAATAGTTTTTTTATGCCTTCCATTGTTCCCCTCTGGTTGTCCTGTTCGGTTTATTGTGGCTGCACTAGGATGGGTGACATTGTTCTCATCTATTTGTTTTCTTGTTCGTTTTCTACTGGCTTGACCATCTCTCTAAAAATAAGAAAACATAAAAAAATGGGCAGTATTTAAAAGGACCAAACATAAAAAATGGACTGCACAATAATAAGAGTAATCCAATCACATATATTCTGACATTTTGTTGGGTAGGAGGTTGATGCGGTTGCTGAGTTCCATTTACAGCTTCTGGATATCCCTCTTGTGTTGTGTTTTCCTTGCAAACAACCAATCAAAATATGTTAAGTTTTAGAAATGTAAAAAATATACGCATCACAAACCTTCAACCGATACCACATTCTTACCACTCCTTGTCTGACTGGTAGTTCTTTACAAGTTCTTGAGTTATGACCTTCTTGTTTGCACTTGGTGCAATGCATCATCATTCCTCGTCTTATAACTTCTTCGCCAATCCCATTTCTTTGTGTGCGAGTCTCCATCTCACCGGCCGCCTTTTTTCTATTTTCTTCGGCCTGCCCGGCATTGCTGATACAGCATGACAACATGGCAACCCACTTAATGCCAAGTACCCACAAGTACAAGTGTTGGTGATTACGTCGACTATATAACATTCACCTCCCATTTTCACTTCACACCTATTCTCAAGGGTTTGTCGAGAAACACATAGCCGTGAAAGTTCCTTTGCCTTTTCCACACGTTTTCGAATTCTTGGACAAAGCAAATCAGTTGTATCTTTCAACATCTTGTATTTGGTGACAACTCTGGTCATTATATACCCCCTAATACCCTAAGCATGTCAATAATCCTAAAACCCCTATATTTGACAATGCTTCCATTCCATGTCTCGCATATATTACTCTTAACAGAGTCAGACTTCGGGATAGTAGATACGAAAGCACGACAAAAACGTTTCGGACAGCTTCCATGAAATCCTTATAAGGGGTAGGACCAAGTTCTGTACCTTGTATCGCTTCCATTTCAGAAGTGGCCTTTCTCCAATCCACCTCATTACAAGCATACACCGCCTTCCAAAATAACTTCCGCACTCGATCAGTCCTATTCTTTACTTTCCAATTGGCATACACATGACGGGCACATTTTCGATGTTCCGCATCAGACAGACATTCGTTAATTGCTTCAACCAAACCCTATGATAAGACAAATAAACCTCAAATAAGATATCATTCTATTAAAGTTAGAAGTCCCAGTAAACCTTCATTCATTAATTGGAATAAGGAAGTTGCTGGTGGCCTTGGCTCATTAACAGAAACAAGTTAATGTGTGTGAGTTCACAAGTAAATGTTTATATGATAAAAAGATAAAAACAAATATGACCTTTTGTTGGTCCGAAATTACAGTCCACCCTCTCCCTTCAACTAAGCCTAATTCTTGGGACAATGTTCGAAGAAACCATGTCCACGAATTTGTATTCTCTCCATCTTTTCCTACAGTGGTAAGCAACATTCCATTAACCTCTCCCTTCAAGAAGCACCCATCCAAACCAAAGAATGGTCGACAACCCTCTAGAAACCGATATAGAACCTTTGGAAGAAAACTTTCTGGTCAGTAGGATGAGGATCGACTTCTAAAATGAATCGTCCATCACGATCTCGGTTTATCAATTCAGCCATATAACTTCTGAGCTTGTGGTACTCATCAACCAATGACCCACTCAACAACTTAATAGCTTCAACCTTAGCCTTATAACATGTCCTCCTATTGACCTCTAGATTATGTTTTTCTTTCACCTCCGCCATAATATGATCTGGGGCCCATTCTGGATTGATCCTGAATCTTGGAAGCAGATAAGATGCTATCCACTTTGCAGTTACCTGATTAACTCGAAGAGACCTTGCACAACTATGAGAGAGACCAACCTTTCTAATCATGAAACACTTGTCCTTTCTAAACCAACTAGCATAAAGCTTCCACTTACAATTAGAAGCCTTACATTTCACCTCTCTTCTAGTTTGGGTACTCCTCGTCCATCTCAAATTTTCCCCAGAAGCTACTGCATGTTTAACAACCCCCTCCTTAAATTGTTCTGGACTCTCAAACTTCATACGACATACAAACTGTAAAACCTTATGATCACAAGCAGGATAATAATGAGGTGCATCATCATAAAGTTCAGCAGGCTCTTCATCAGACAAATTGCGTCGCACGTGGTCAGAATTTTCAGATCCTCTATAACTTGAGTTGGATCCTTCTTCTACCTGCTGAGTTTGTGGAAAATGTTGTTCAAGAGGCTCACCCTCATTAACGGGGTTTGGATTTTGGTTGGCACGGACCGCCTCATCTTCGAAGTGACCTTCCTCCCCTTGGGAATCTGAGTCATCCCCGTCAAACTCGTCAAGCTGTTCTGTAACACCCTGACATTTGAGTTCAAGTTCGATCATGATAAATTATCGATTGGATAGACGATTACGTACGAATGGTTACAATTTCGAATTAGGAATAATGATAATAATAACATATTATTATTAGTAAAACAAAACAAAACAAAAAAAAAAACCACCCCACCCCACGTCACCCCCACCCCATATATGTACACTACCCCACTTCTCCATCTCTCTCCCGTGATCAAATTAATCCCCACCTGCAATACAGATCCAACCGAGAACACTTCCTCCCTACAGCATCCAACCATCCAGTCCCTACAACATTTACTCTGGATCTGAACTACTCTTGTCAAGATAAGAATCAAGTAGTGTATAATATACTTTCCTTCTCATCTCCAGAGCCAGTTATCAATACCCACCCACGGACAACATCATTCTCGTGACATGATAAGGGTAGTCGGATAACATTTTATAATCTTTCCATCACAACCTAACAATCATAGCTTCCCTTTGCTGTTAAATGAAACCCATATGAATGACCTACACCATCATTCCCACATCCTCCAAACTTGCCCGCGGCCTCACCTCCACGTTAAAGAAAAGGAAGAAAACTAGGGAATAGAAGAAGAGGGAAAGGAAGGAGCCTGGGCACTGGGTTTTGGTCGGGAGAACGTCAGAAATCGATCCACGGAGTCAGAATTCAGTTTGGAGGTCGTTAGAAGTCTCATCGGAGCTTCGCCGGAGTGTCGCCGGAGTGTCGCCGGATTCTGGAAAAAAACCAACTTCGACCAAACTTCAAAAGGTGGATACGGTCGCGTAGAGGGCGATCTCAGGAGCGTCACGGTGTCGACGAAATCAAATTAGGACGTCGGATGAGGGAGAACCGAGTCTCCCAAGTTTGAGGAAGAACATGTCAACCATCAGGTACCATTCGTGGAAATTCGAAAAAGTTGGAGGATTAAATGTGTAATTTTTCCAGCAGGTCGTGGTCAACTGTGTTGACTGGAAAATATCAGTTGCGGTACTTGGTACTTCTAAACTGACAGAATATTTATTTTGGCCATAACTCGATCAATAGACGTCCGATCGAGGAACCGTCTGCGCTCACGGAATCGTAGAAGCGAGGGGAATGTTATAGGAGGGAGTTTGGAATTTTCATAGTCTGAGCAGAGTCATCTTTTCGAGGTGAGTGGTTTAAGGGGGTAAATTCTACGCCTTACGTATTTTCAAATATTTGACTTACGAGTTTTACGTATGTGTGTTTATATGAATTGTATGCCAGTTATTGATTTATGTCGTGATTGATAAAGCATGTTATATTTGAGATATTATCTGAGATGCTCTATTTGAGTTATGATTGTGAAGTATATGATTATTGAGCTGTCAGTATTTACTTGAAGCTTTTATATTTATGTTATTTAATGAAGGTTGCTTGATCTTTAAGGATCAACATTTAAGAGGTATTTCACTCCTAATTAGATTAAGGTGAAAAGATTTAAAGGTAGTTCACTAACGCCAGTCTCCCGCCCGAGTGAAAGTTTAAAGGAAGAGCAAGTTTGCTCTTAAGGAACATGTGGATGAATCACTTAGACATCACATGAAGTTTAAAGGAAGAGTATGATATACTCTTAAGGTTTATGGGGTTGAATAGATTACTCCCATAAAAAGGTTTAAGGAAAGGCCTATGTTGGCCCTCATACGTATGAGCTGGGCGGTTGGACTAGTTAGTGAGGGGATCCCAGTGTCGGTCAAATGTTTAATATTTTTGAGGGTGGCGAGTAACAACAACTCCCACGTTTTTAAGGGT